TAATTGTTTTGTCCGTAATCGTCTTATATGATAACAAATTTATTTAATAATATCTATACAAATAATAATAATAATATGTTATTTATAACTAATTGATATTTAATTATTTTATCAATATTTTTATAACAATACAGAACTTCTCTTATCAGGTTATCACTAAAATTTTGTTTAGTAATTGTAAATACATTATTACAGTATTATTATTATTATTAAAATGTAAAATGTAATCAACAACAACTAGAGTACAATACAATGTCTCGGTAATAATTTATTACTAACTATTTAACAATTAATTGACATTATTAAATAAAATGCAATCAAATTACATAGATAAATTTTTATTTAGTTAATGTTTAATTTTTAATTAAAATTAAAATACAATTACAAAATAGCGTTAAAAGCACTTATATATAATGGGCGGCGCGTTCAATAATTTCACCATGAACAAACAGCTGCACAATTAATATATACACGTAAGCAAACTTAATGGCGTAATCGTAGAGATAATAATAATTCAATGGGAAAACATCGCCACAATAAAAGCCTATATCGGCGCCGGACAGCAGCTCATTGAGCGCCTGTATCTTAAGCTGGTGTCTGAGGGACAGGTCTGGTCGGAGCATCACCTTGTGCAAACTGGCCCTGCACTTATGCACATTTTTAACTAGCTCAGCACTCATCACACACAATATAAACAATGTAACAATGAACATAGCGTTAGTGATACCAAAAGCGAGCTTGGCATAATAAACAGTCAATTTGTCTATGGTCAAATAAAAACTCAGGTCTATGCCGGCTGTGCCCGCCAGGTATATGCAAAATACAGTGTATTTTATAAACTTATCGATCAAGATCACTTCCCTGGTGACAAAATAATGTCGCCTAATGGCCGCCATTAGACCGATGTTAAATCGGCGCTGAACGCAAAATTTCACAGTAACCTCGCGCAATTTATATTTCAAATGTATCATGGCTGTGACCCACATGACACCGCCAGCCATTACCACGATGAATTGCTGTTCTACCACTGGCCCAGTGATAATTGTCCATAATATAATGCCCCAGAGGGAATAGGTGCCATTTTGGTCCGATAGGTAAACCATGATGGTGGGCACCGCAATCAACAAGTATAATATAACGCAAATGGGTATAAACATCCTGTTTAATACAATGTCCACCATAAAATTGGCATAGTAGCCAAATTTGATTGTGTGCATTTTGTTCAATTCGTAGCCAGGTGCATTATTTTTAACATTGTAGAGATATCTAGATAGGTAATGGTGATGGTGATATTCGTGATATATGATTACCAAGTTGATTGAGGTGAAAAATATGCCGTACATGGCGAACATGGCCGACACAAGGCGTGGATTGCCCAGTATGTCATTTGTGTTGGCCATTATTGATTGGATTATTGGCCGGTCCACTATTGCCGCTATGATGTATCGGGCGGTGAATAACATACCGCATAGTTGTAGCAATAGTATCTTGATGATTCGCGCCCGTTTAAAATGCCCATTCATGTAGTCGGTAAAGTTTTCAGCGAGAAAAAAATAGTATTTATTGTAAAATGTTTCTAACTTGGTTATGGCCTCCCTACCGTTCATGGTATTTTTAATATAAAACACCATGAGCACTTTTTTGAGGCACACATGCAGTAGCTTGCCGATTAATCTTTCAATTATCATGATTGTTGTTATAACAATATGGCTTAAATGAAATATAACATTGCCCATGATAATTAAAGTAGTCAAATAATTAGATTATTGTTGATTATTTAAAAATTAAAGTTAAATTTACAATTTTTATATGCTTAGCTGTTCATAATATGATATTAGTTATTTACAAAGCCAAACTAAATTTTTTAAGTATTATTTAAAAATTATTACTATAGCGATAAACGTAATAAAATTTTTAAGTTCAGATGTATTATTATGGAATAAAACTAAATATGGTTATTTAAATATTAATCCATGCTAAATATTACTATATTTAACATTTAATACGATAAAATAGCAAATAAGTGAGACATGCAATTAATATTATGATAATTGTTCATTTTAATTGGCCATGTGCAGACTGTTTAGTAAAGTAGTATATTTATGAATATTAAAGTAATAGCTTTGCTATCTTATTTATTATAAATAGTTTAAGTATATTTCTTTAATTCTTATATTTTTATTGTGTTTTAGCTTTTTGAGATATAATTAAAAAAATATAATATAATTTTTATTTAAACTAACATAATCGTTTTATCAAAATGTTTTATGCTAAATAAGCATAAAATTAGCATCACTAATTTAAAAACTATGTTCTATTTGCGTAACTCTAAAATAAAAGTTGTTACTAATTTGAGTAAATAGCCATTGTTTGTTACCATAATTACTATTTTAAACTTCAGATTATTTATTAAAATTTAATAAATATAATAAAATTGAAATTATAGATAAAACATACAGGTTACAGAGTTTATTACTAAATAACTTAAAATTATCATCTTAAACTAATCTTAAGCTTAATCAACTTAAACAACTACACAGTTGTATGTTGTTTGATGCATACAATGTATGCCGTTGTAAACATGTTGTTGCATTGTGATAAATATAATTAAAATTAATTAATTACCATCATTACTCTTTACGCATTTGGATACAATTACAAGTGTTTATATTTATATTCCTAACTACATAAACAACCTTGTAAATAACGCACCAAGCTAAGGGTGACATGGATGTATGACATTGTCACATTAGATCCGTTAATAAATCATAAACGTGTTACGTAAAAACATAATAACCTAGTACAAAAGGCGTTACTTTTTCAACATTATATTACCAAATTTTACAAAAACAACACGTTGTGAGTGCATAGGTAGTAAAATTAATTACCAGGATGTTGATGCTATTACATGATGTAGTAACTTATATCAATTTAACATAATAATCGACTAATTCATAAATCATAATTAATTACAATTACTATCTAGATTAATTAATTAAAATTTAAATGATGCAAACACTTTCCGATCACATGATTACCCCATTATAATAAACACGAAATCTCTGATATATATAAAAGCGCTTAAAAACATTCAAACAAAACAACAAAAATCATTTATTTAATTGATTTTAAATCAAACCAATAATCAAAACGATTAATACAATGAATGTTTCATTTGTAACAGCGCTAGCAGTACTGGTGCTAACCATTAGCACCGGTCATACCTATGGGTATAGCATTCAAATCACTGGCAAAACCGATGGGTTGGCCAGCAATTGCAGTCACCATCAAAGTCTGTTTGAGTCATTCAATCCACTGAATCTGGTCGGCAATGTTGTGGGACAGGCGCTGAACACAGCCCGCGGAGCAGTACAGGGAGGTCTCAAGATTGCCACCACAGCCGTAACCAACCCATTGAATGTCGGCGGTATCGTTGGTGAAGCGCTGGACACGGCTCGGCACGCAGTCAGTGGTGGCCTACGAACAGCTGACAGCGCCGTCAGACCTCTGCGGTTAGGACTGGGCATCAATGGTAACACCGGTGCGAACCCATTGAATCTGGTCGATAATGTTGTGGGACAGGCGCTGAACACAGCCCGTGGAGCCGTACGCGACGGTCTGGGGATTGCTGTTAACGCTGTGTCCAATCCATTGAATGTCGGCGGTATCGTTGGCAATGCGCTGGACACGGCTCGGCACGCAGTCAAGGGTGGCCTACGAACAGCTGACAGCGCCGTCGGACCGCTGGGATTGGGTGTTAAGATCGGTGGTAACGCTGGTGTGTCTTGCAATACGACTAACCCTATGAATCTGGTCGGTAATGTAGTCGGCGAGGCATTGAACACAGCCCGAGGCGCGGTACAGGGAGGTGTGAATATTGCCACCACCGCTCTGTCTAACCCATTGAATGTCGGCGGTATTGTTGGACAAGCTCTCGACACAGCCCGGCAAGCAGTTAAAGGTGGCCTAAGGACAGCCGACAGCGCTGTCAGACCTCTGGGCTTAGGTTTTGGTATCAATGGTAACACCGGTGCGAACCCACTTAATCTGGTCGGCAATGTGGTCGGGAAGGCACTGAACACAGCCCGCGGAGCAGTACAGGGAGGTCTCAAGATTGCCACCACAGCCGTTACCAACCCATTAAATGTCGGCGGTATCGTTGGCGATGCGCTGGACACGGCTCGACACGCAGTCAGTGGTGGCTTACGAACAGCTGACAGCGCCGTCAGACCTCTTGGTTTAGGACTGGGCATCACTGGTAACACCGGTGCGAACCCATTGAATTTGGTCGGCAATGTTGTGGGACAGGCGCTGAACACAGCCCGCGGTGCAGTACAGGGAGGTCTTAATATCGCCACCACAGCCGTAACCAACCCATTGAATGTCGGCGGTATTGTTGGTGAAGCGCTGGACACGGCTCGGGGTGCTGTCAACGGTGGCCTACGAACAGCTGACAGCGCCGTCGGACCGCTGGGATTGGGTGTTAAGATTGGTGGTAACGCTCGCGTGTCTCGCAATATCGTTAACCCACTGAATCTGGTCGGGAATGTGGTCGGGGAGGCATTGAACACAGCCCGGGGCGCCATTCGCGGAGGTCTGGATATTGCCACCACCGCTGTGTCCAACCCATTAAATGTCGGCCGTATTGTTGGTAAAGCACTGGACACAACCCGGGGTGCAGTCAGAGATGGTCTCAATATTGCCGGTACAGCTGTTTCTGGTGTAGGTTTGGGTGCCGGACAGGCATCGGTCAATGTTTAAGGCACCGGTATTTTATTGTGGCAAATATGAAGAATCTTGATGTTTTTGAATTAATTAATTTTCTATTAAGTATGGTATTAACATGAATTTTTAATAATATTTAGCATGGTAATTTTATATTCAATAATTGTATTTAAACTTAATATTTAAATAATTTTATGTTATAAAATCTAATGTAAAATATTTGTCAAAATTTTCTAGAAATAAATAGCATTTTCAAATATATTTGCAAGTTTTCAAGTATACTAATAATATATTTATTATTGTGTTTTCCGAAATAAAACCTCATAGAAAACTGAATTATCATGAGTTTTAAGTGTATTTAAAACTTGATCGAATTCCTTATGTCCGGTGATAACAGTCCTATCAATAGACCACTCGTTATATGTGGCCAACACTTGCCGACACTCAGGTCTTTGTCGCCAAAAGGGTGTTGACATCATTGCCACTAATGTCTGGTATAGACATAGTATTGATGTTTTAAACACAGTGTCTTTAGCATCAAATGATTGCGAGCTTTAAATCAATAAATAATTATAAATAATAATATTTTCACATAAAATGTTGACAAAACTCTTACGCCTGGAGATCGATATCAAATACTTTTTGACCGATTAAAGAAAGGCTATAAATATCCGATTTGTGGTTATATTTATTTCCCGAAATCATTTCCGGTGCCATATATGCAAAAGTGCCGACAACTGAGTGCTCGTATCGGCTGGCAGTTTGTCTGTCGACGTTGTGATCGGTGGCCAAACCAAAGTCACACAGTTTTATAAAACGATTGGACGTAAAGTTGGTATCAATTAATATATTGTCGGGTTTGAGATCCCGATGAATGATCGGTGGATTGGATTTGTGTAGATATTGTACGCTCTCTAAGATCTCTTTGAATATCTGACACGATATGTAATATTCAAACACACTATTCATCTGATCCTCCGGTTGTCGACCGAAGACAATGGCTTTCTCTGCGAGAAGTGATCGAAGACTTTGCGCACAGAATTGCATTTGAATGTAGAGATGATTGGACTCAAGCCATGAGTTGTAATACTTTACGGCAAAATTTTGGTCCAGTTTTGCCAAATTTTTTACTTCTTTCAGAGCTTTTTGTTTGTTTTCGTCACTAATATCTGAAAAACATTTTATGATTTTTAAAATATTTTAAAATAAATAAGTATTAATATTAATTAATATTATATTTACCCCCTAATTGAACTCTTTTAACGGCATATATCTTATCATCCAATCTATGCTTTACTTTAAATACAGTCCCAAAACCACCCGAACCTATGACTGATATCTCAATGAATTGAGTTTTATAGTTACCATCACTTGTATTATCGTTACTTTTATAGACATTTAATGTTACGATTGTTTTCTCATTGAATTCTCTCAAATCGATTGTATTATACGTTATTTGAAATTCGGGTGCATTTGCGTAAAAGTCAATAAAATTATTATATGGAGTTTCAAACATTTGATGCACGTACATTGCATATATCTTATTATTAACTAGAACGTGTATATACATGTGACTAGTATATCTATCCCATGAATTAAATTGCTGTATTTGTTGAAAATGATGCTCAGATAGTATTTGTTTCGGGGTTTTTTCAATTATATATTTAGATGTATACTGTTCAGAATAATTTCCACAAATATATAAACCATTTGTTGTTAGAAAATATACTACACTATCAGTACAAGCAATTTCTATTACATTATTTATGGCTGATATTAATCGTGGTTCCAATATTATATTATCGGTTATATTGTGTCCCAATCTATGGTGATTATTATGACCCCAACTGAAGACATATCCATCGGATGTGATGGCAAATGAGGAACCACTACAAGAAGTAATGGATTTTATTTTAAAATTCATATTGAATTCTAACTCAATTGGTGTACAAATAAATCCATTGTCTTGGCTGCCAATTTGACCAACACTATTGTCACCCCAGACATACACACGGCCATCACTAGTAAGAGCCAGTGTGCCGTAATAATTGCAACTTAGTTGTACCACGTTTTTGTTGTTAAAATATGTTATTACCTCTGGTTTCAAACAATCATACGAATTATTTATTTCACCCCGGGCCAATTGTCCACGATCATTGCACCCAAATCCATATATCATACTCATATCATTCACAGCTAAAACAAAATCATATCCATTAACGAAGTATTGTATGTTTTGATGACATAATTCTGGTATAACTTCTATGGATAGTATAGGACTATTGTGCCCAAACCCCAGACGTCCATAATCATTTGTACCCAGTCCATACACCATATCATCGCTCGTTATACATAATACATTATTAACTAATGCTTTAGTAACAGGATAATGAACATTAAAAATATGTAATTTTGTAATATTTTTACTGATATTTGCTGGAATTGTATCACAAATTGTAAACCTTTTTAATAATTCACACATTATTTACAAAATCATAATAACAATGTATAAAACAATTTTAACATTTAACCCTTAAAGCTTAAACTATAATTATAAACATTGTAAATAAACTGGGAAACTAATCTCCCAGCAGTTAGTGCATAAACTGGGAGATTAATCTCCCATGCTTTAGTGTATTTTATGCTGGGAGAATAGTCTCCCAGTTTATGCAGTTTAATGCTGGGAGATAAATCTCCCAGTTTATGCAATAGGTGCAAATTAAAATTAGCACTGTTTATACTGAAGGAAAAAAGTTACATTGCGTATAAACTGGGTGAATAATATCCCAAACTTTAATTAAACCACGATCATTTAATTAATCATATAATTTATGGTCATATAAGTTAACAACTTTTTAAATCTAACTATTTATGAGGCATTCATGGATTTTTTTATGGCTAACACTCTTCATTGATTTTTAATTGAAATTCAAAATGCAAATGGGAGACTATTCTCCCAGTTTAAGCTTCTAGGGTTAATAAATAGCCAATTTATTATTAGTTTTAATGAGTTGTATATTATTTGTTTTAATAAAACTTTAATATAACCTTTACATAGGAATTGCGATTAACAGTTAAACCCTATGGAAACAGTGATTAAAAGCAAATAATTATCTAATATAAATTATCTAATATGTACAGTACATATCTACATACATATATTTAATTTACTGTATAACGAATATAATTATTCTATTAAAAATAAATTCATGTTTGTAAAAATATTATCAATATAAATAATGTATTATTAATTAACTAGATTCTAGAAAATGTCAACTGTATTGATTTTTATTTTGCGAAATATAAATAAATGCGCTTAAATGTATTAAAAATAAGATTATTTTTGGAGTTTAATGTTGTCTTGAATATTTTAGGTCTCTCTCTCTCTCTCTCTCTCTCTCTCTC